CAGCGGCGGAGCGCACAGCCCCCCGCCCCACCCCGGCTGCGGGGGTCTGGGGAAGCGCTGGGAGGGAAGAAGCCGGGGCGACGCTGACACCTACATCTTCCCTCCCGAAACTGTTCTTCATGTCTGCTCTCGCCCCGGGTCCTTTTCTCCTTTGCGCCCAACTTTTCTACTTTCGGGGCTCCACGCTCTGGAAAGTGAGGCCAGAAAAAAACTGGAGAGGTTAAAGGTGAAAACAGAAAGCAAGCCCTGGGGTGCAGCAGGTGGCTGATGGAGGCTGATGCGAAGACTACGGTTCAAAGTCAGCCTGGGCAGGCAAGTCGGTGTGAGAGACTCTTATTAACCACCACCAACAAAAACCAGACTCAAGTGGCAGAATACCATCCTTTACCAAAGGGAGAGACCATACACCAAGGGAGAGACCCTGAGTTCAAGCCCCATCGCTGGCACCAAAACAAAATAACCAAAGAGCAGGAATAATCAAACTGTGTCTCTAGAAAAAAGGAAGGATGTCTATCTCTGTATAATATTTTTTAAAATACTTTAACAATAATGGTTTAGAGGCAGAGACTATTATACGGGAGACAACTTTATTACCACCAAAGAAATTCTTCATCAGGCACCACAAACTGGTATTTATTGTCCTTACTAGTATTACTAGTATTCTTTTAGTTTTTATTAATTGTCGAATGTCGGGCTTGAACTCAGGGCTTGGGGCGCTGTCTCCCTGAGGTCTTTTGCTCAAGGCTAGCTAGCACGCTATCATGTTGAGCTTGAGTGGTTAATTGGAGATAAAAGTTTCCCAGGGACTTTTCTTCCCTGCACTGGCTTCCAACTATGATCCTCAGATCTCAGCCTCCTGAGTAGCTAGGATTTCAGGTGTGCGCCACTGACACCCGCTCTTTAATATTATTAATCTTTTTTGGATCACAGAATGAATTCTGTCATTGACATGGACATTCTGCTGGGATTTGGTGGGTGAAATCATAATTGGCAGTTGAGAATGTACAACCTGATGTTTTGCATCTCCTTTTACTAGTTACTTTAGTACTGAAAAGACAATTTGGGAGTTACTGGGAAGCTAGGTTCAATTTTAGCCTGTGACTTGCTCAATGTGAGAGATGGCTCTTAAATTGTTCTCTGCATTTAAACTAGAGGCTTGAACTTGAGCTCTCCTTTGCCTATATTTCTCTAACCAAAGGCATGCAAATTACTAATAAGCTGAAAGTACAAAATGAAATCAGTAAACAATTGCCACGGGCTACAAAAAATGCATACACATAGGCTTAAAACTATTTTCATGCAGAATTTCAATCTATATCATAATGGGAGGATTGATCTAAAGATTCTTAGGTGAGAAAGGGAATATCCTAGACTTGTTAGTGTGTGTATATTAGTAGAATAGTTTCATTTTAGATTGTTAGTGCATGATCCTTTCTTTGTTCCTTCCTTCCTTCCTCCCTTCCTCCCCCTCCCTCCCTCCCTTCCTCCCTCTCTCCTTCTCTCTCTCTCTTTCTTTCTTTCCCTTCCTTCCTTCCTGTCTGTGTCTTTCTTTCTTTCTTTCTTTCTTTCTTTCTTTCTTTCTTTCTTTCTTTCTTTCTTTCTTTCTTTCTTTCTGTCTGTCTTTCTTCCTTTCTTCTTTTCTTCCTTTCTGTACTGGTCCTGGAGCTTGAACTCTGGGCCTGGGCTCTGTCCCTGATCTCATCAGTTCAAGGCCAGCACTCTACCACTGAGCCACAGCTCCACTTGCAATTTTCTGGTAGTTAATTGGAGAGAAGAATCTCATGGGCTTTCTTGCCTGGGCTGACTACATGATTGCTTTTCTACAGAAGGACACTATGGTAAAGCTTATGATAAATATGGGACATAGCACCCGAGTAGGTAAGCATTCATTAGTTGAATCATTTTGGCCTGATTCATAGGACAAATTGGTCTGAGACTATTTTTGTCATGAATTAAACTGAAATCTGCAGGCATCATTTGATTTTTTTATTGCTCATTGATCTGAATTGTATGAGAGAGAGAGAGAGAGGGAGAGGAAGAAAGAAAGAAAGAAAGAAGGAAAGAAAGGAAGGAAGGAAGGAAGAAGGGAGGGAGGGACAGAGAGAGGGAGGGAAGGAGGGAGGGAGAGAGGGAGAGAGGGAGGGAGGGAGGGAGAATATACTGGGGCTTGAATGCTTGAACTCAGAGCCTCTTCACACTCACCTTCGCTCTACTCAAAGTTGGCATTCATACCAATTGAGCCACACCCCCACTTCTGGCTTCTCTCCCCACCCACTGTGGATGATTATAGATAAGCCTGGGCTAGCTTTGCAATGCAATCCTCAGATCTCAGCCTCCTATGGCAGGTATGAGATACTATGCTGGACTGATCTATATGTTGGTTTAGGTGAGATTGTCCAAAGACAGAAATAATTTCACTGTCAAGTTTAAAAATATTGAGTATTGTTTGTATGTTCAACGCTAAGCAACTCTCTCAGGAGGCCCTTTCCAATTGTCCTTGCCCTCCATTTTTCTAGTCTAGTCAGACTCCTGTCAAACAACAGCCAACAATGAAGGCTTTCCTATTAGCACAAAGTGTGGGAAGGCCAAAAGAGAAATGTATCTTTATACTAGACTCTAATTGCTTAAATGGAGTAATGCAGAAGGTCTCCCTAATGACCCTCTTATGTTTGTTTTCAGTGTTCTGCATTGGGTACAGGAATCCTGAAAGTCACTTTGTTGGTATTTGCCTGTGCTCTTCTCAGTCTATGGCTAGCTACTTTTACTGTTGTGTATCCACCAAAATTAGGGCTTAATGCGACTTAGATATTTGTTTTTCAAAACTAATTTGTCTGAAAGTATGTTTCTTTTGTGTAAATGAATACAAGGTTTTGACTTTTCTCTTTGGTCTGGGGGGGGGAGGGAGAGAGGGAGGGAGGGAGAGAAGCTTTTCTAGGGCTTAAATTCAGGGCCCTGAATGTATTTCCTTAGCTTTTTCACTCAAGGCTAGCACTCTACCACTTGAGCCACACCTCTACTCCTGCCTTTTTCCTGGTTAATTATAGATAAGAGCCTACAGAGATCTTCCTGCCGGGTGAGGCTTCAAACCACAGTCCTCAGTTTTCAGCTAGGATTACAGGCTGGAGCCACCATGTCTCTTGTCTTTGTTCTTTACTTCATCTTTCTGTTCATTAAGAAGTAAACCAACACACTTTTTTTTGTGGTAAATCAAGATTTGGGGAAAAATAGACACAACATTCAAGGTTTGTTTGGTTTTTTTCTTTCTTTTCTTCAATACTAAAGGATAAGATGACAAGAAATTCAATGTGTGGTTTTGTGAGAGAGTGATACTGGGATTTGGACTTAGGCTTGAGTGCTATCTCTTAGCTGTTTTCAAGGCTAGTGCTCTACCACATGGGCCACAGTTCCAAGGCTAGTGCTGTAATACAGGAGCAGCTTTTCTGGTGGTTAATTGGAGATAAGAGTCTCATGGACTTTGCTGCCTGGTTGGCTTTAAACCATGATCCTCAGATTTCAGCCTCCTGAGTAGCTAGGATTACAGGTGTGAGTCTGGCTTCCTGGAATGACTTTATATTAGATTTGCCCTCTCTACCCCCATTCCCCTGTCCATTGTGGAGCTTGAACTCTGGGCCTGGGTGCTGTCCCTCAGCTCTTTTGCTTAAAGCTAGCACTCTACCACTTTTAGCTGCAATGCTACTTCTGATTTTCTGGTGGTTAATTGGAGATAACAGTCTTAAGCATTTTTTTCTTTTTGGACAGGGCTGGCTTTGAACTTTGAAATGCAAATCTTAGCCTCTTGAATAGTTAAGTGCCCTATTTATGCTAAGATTTTGACCACCAGGATCAAATTCTAATTTTGGTCTCTTTTCTAGTCTCCATATCACTCTCAGTTGTTGTATCTTAGTTGGAGGAGATTTTTGTGACTTTTCTCTTTGCAATTTTAGTGAGTAGAGTCCTAAAGTCTCTGAATAGTTCTGGATTTAATGATTGCTTTCTAATTTTAAGAACATAATACATTTTCTTATTTCTTTGACTATATTAATTATTTTTTCCTTTGCCTTACTAGGCTAGTATCATATCACCCAACCCTTCAAAGCCAGGCCTTTAATTATGGGCTTTTACCTCCTCTTACCCTCAGTTCAACTATGTATCTTTTCTCCTCTGAATAACTCTCTTCCTTTGTGGTTTTTATTGCTGTTCTTCATATTAGTGGATTTCTGAAAAATCGGACACCTGCTTATTTTTGATTCTTTACTTAAGAGCACTAAAATATGGGTTGAAAATCCCGAGAACAAGCTAGGCACCAAGGGCTCATTCCTGTAGTCCTACCTACTCAGGAAGCTGAAATCTGAGGATCGCAGTTCAAAGCCAGCCTGGGACAGGAAAGTCCATGAGACGTTTAATCACCAAAAAGCTGTCAGTAGAGGTGTGGCTCAAATGGTAG